CCCGCGGAGCGGCTGGTAGTTTCGAACCGCTGACCTTAAGGTTCGCAGCCCGATTCGTAACCACTACGCTACCAGAGCTCCTTCCCATTTTCATTAACCATATAGAATATCTGTCTCTCTCTAGCAGCATGCATCATCTTGGACTGATATTTTTGTTTCTTGTGACCCTTTCCTCTTCACAGCATCATGTTTCTATCCCCAAAAGGCACTGGTTTAAGTTCTTTTTTAAACTAGGACTCCATATTTAAGTTCTACTATTGCTCCTAGCTATGAGTTAGAACCAACTCCGTGCACTAACAGCAAAAACTGCTGTGTCAGTTGCTATTTGAGGTATCATAGAACTTTTTGTTCCTTATTAACTGACATGATGTCAAAACATGTGTGCTGAGTGAAATAAGAGATGTATCTTCACCCCTAAAGCCACTCTGAACTAGTTCATTCAGAATCTAGCAGGATACAAGCATTTGGATTTTGTAATCTTGACAACCAGATTCATGTTGTATTTTGATATGAGACAAAGGAAAGCTAACTTCAATCGTAGCATATTTGTTTGTCTTCTCTTACACAGGCCCTCCAAGACCATCACTATGACCGATGGGGACTATGATTATCTGATCAAACTCCTGGCCCTCGGAGACTCAGGAGTGGGGAAGACGACATTTCTTTACAGATACACAGACAACAAGTTCAACCCCAAATTCATCACAACAGTTGGAATAGACTTTCGGGAAAAACGTGTGGTAAGTTTTTAACTCTAATGTTAACCTTGTTGTTGATTCCCCCATGTAAAATACAAATTAAGAAAGGCTATGTTCCTTGAGGAATCCTAGTGTGGTGCTGTAGGATAAACACTGGACTGCTAACCACAAGGTTGGTAATGCGAACCCACTCCTTGGAAACCCTATATAAGGTCTCTATGTGTAGGAACCAATTTGATGGCACTTAACACCAACAACAATGTACCTTGAACATTACACCCTCTTAAGATCTATCTGGATGGAATCACACTGACAACAGCAACTCAAAATATGAGCTAAGGAACTTAAGAGGCAGTGAGTGTATGTTAATGGGGGGGGGGGGAGAGAAACAACTCCATCAAAGGAGGGTGAGAATGGTTGTACAACTCGGAAATGTAATACATGCCACTGAATTTTACATGTAGAAACTGTTAAATCGGTGTGTGTTTTGCTGTGTATGTTCTCAACAGCAACAGTAATGACAAAAATAAAATCAAATAATTTTTTTTTTCAATAAGAAACTATGCTTTTTGCTTTGACAGGTGTCTCTTTTATTAGATGAAATTCCTAATTCACTGTAATTTACTTGGAAATATTATTTATTCCTTTCTCAGCTGTAAGTAACATGATGGCTAAAAAAAAAAAAATATTGAGTGGCACTCTCTTTTAACTCCAAAAGTATATAAGGCCATTAAAATACAAACATAAAAATATCTGGATTTGTATAGTGTGTTTACTATAAATGTTCAAGGAATCTTTTCGAACCTGAATTATTCAGAAGCCAAGCACAATTAACTCTTTGATCTAAGTTAGATTCCTCAATAATTAGAAGGGTCTCTTTCCCTGCTCTTGAGAAAGAGGCTGAAAAATATGATTGACAAATAGCTGGAACCAGAGCTTCTAATTTTCTGCTGCACTTTTATTTTTGTGTCGACTCAGCCATCAATCACTGGTTTCTTATGAACAGAATGTGAGACCAATCGTGCAACTTTCTGAGATAAGGGGGTTTAAGTGAGAATCACAACCACTTCCTTCTCTTATGCTAGACGCTAATGACAGGAATGAGGATCATTGTGACATATGAGACGTGTAGCATAGACACATAAGTGTAGCCAGATTTACTGCCACCCAAGGTATCCTTGATTGCCAAGATGGCTACAGCTTCCAATGGATGTCACAAAGCTACTCATTGCTTGAGAATTGGGAAGGAAAACAAAGGAAATAGTGGAAGGCCATTGCCTGAGACGTTAAATCATGATTCCTCATAATATCCTGTAGCTTATCTGAAAGTCAATACACTGTAGTGTGTGTAGTCTTAGTAATTTTGCTTCCAACCCCTCTTCACAGTTTCCCCACCTCCTATGCCTCTCTACTCGGCCCTATCCCTAACCCCCTACTGATATGGGTATAAGTCCTTATGAAATTTCCCCACTGAATCATTTCCACTAAATCCATATTTGGGGGGAATGATTAAGTATTAAGCATGATATGTTTTGCTTAAGTAAAAAAGTTGAAAATCTGTCAAATTTTAAAATGTAAATGTTTCTAAAAGGAAATGGGAGAAATAGTTAGTAAAGGAAGGTTTGGAGTGTCCTGTGCCAACTTACTGAGGAATTCTGTTTATAGCTCACAGATCAGTTATTTTTTTAAAAGAACTCAGTAAAAGAAATCCAGGTGTTTGTGAAGCAGTTTCCTGTTAAAGAAGTGCTTCCACATTTATTATTTAAGTTTACAGCAATTCTGTGAAGTAGGAAGGGATTGTGGGTCTTGATTTATACATAAGATAGTTAGATTCACAAATGAAGAGTTGGTGTTTGAACTTAGAGCTTGGGTCCTAAAATCTAATTTTTGCTGTCTCCATGAGAAAATGACAGAAGGTGTCTAATTTAAGTTTGCAGTATGCCTAAATTGTGTTGAAAATCGTATTTGTACTTGACATTTCAAAGTGAGAGTATATGCGATACTTCTGGAAAAGCAGAGCAAATATTTATTCTGCACTATGAACTTTGATTATAGTAATCGAGAGAAAACATGCCGGTTGAACCCGGCAGAGAATTTGAATGTTGACAAAATCCAAAGCAGTATCAGCTGGTATGGCACTGTAGTATAAGCACTGGACTGCTAACCACAAGGCCAGCAGCTCAAACCCACCACCTGCTCCTTGGAAACCCTATACAGGGTCGCTATGAGTTGTAACTGACTCAAGGACACATTAACAACAACAAACCAGCTCATGCAAATTGTCTATTTCAGGTTTATAATACACAAGGATCAAATGGATCTTCAGGAAAAGCATTTAAGGTGCATCTTCAGCTATGGGACACTGCAGGACAAGAGCGGTAATATGAAATTGCTTTATTTCCAGCTATATACACGCCTTAGAAAACTGTCCTTTACAATGAAGGCTGTATGTGGATCTGCGGTAAAACTCTTACCCTCTCTGAGGGAGAACTGGCCTTCAGTGGAGGCTTATGGGTTACTATGATGCTGAAGAAATTGCAGTGAAACTTCCATACTAAGACAGACTAGAAAGAAAGATCTGATCATCTACTTAACAAAAATCAGTCAATGAAAACTCTATGGATCACACCCATTAGCTCAACAACCAATCACAGAGATGGTACAGGATTAGACAGCATTTAGTTCTGTTGTGCATGGGGTGGCCGTGAGTTGGGGGAACTTGAAGACGACCGTGTGAACCTGAAACATAATAACACACAACTTTTCTCCTAGTTCCTAAGTAGACATTTGTATTGAGAAGAAAATAAAAATTATTTTTAATCAGCTATAACTTCATAGAGATAACTGGACCTCTATGAAGACCCCCATTATGCATTGCCTGTGCACGTTTCTAGAGGAGAATGTGGCACTGTAGGATAGGCACTAGACCACAAGGTCAGTTTGAATCACAAGGTTGGCAGTTCAAATTTACCAGCCACTCCTGGGAAACCCTGTGTAGAGTTTCTATGAATCATAACCAACTCAACAGCCCTAAACAACAACCTAACTAGCATTGTATCTCTATGAAGATTCCTGCCATGCATTGCCTTTGCATCTTTCTAGTAGGAGAATGTTCTCCAACATTTCTTTGAATGAAGATGGGAAATTAACTGTATTACAAGTGCCACATTAATGGAGAATTGAAGAAAAGGGTGTTAAAACCTTTCCTATCTCTTACTCTTCTACACAGACTTTCCAGTGTACACTCAGTGACTGGCTTTATCCTCTAAACTTTCAATCGTGCCATTGTTTTCCAGCTAGAATGCTTTATTCATTCACCACCTTCCCATTCCTTCATTCCTTCCCACCTCACATTCCACCTCATCTATGTAGAGTTTCTTAAAACCTCAACTGAAGCTCCCTCTCTCTTCTTAATTCCTGAAATTCTGAGTCTATCATCCCTTTATTTCTTACATTAAAAACCACTTTGTTAAAAGCATATCTTCCATTTTTTTTGTCTCTAACCAGATTCACTTAGTGATCTGGTCACCCCAACTAAATGGCCTTCATGAGAGCAGAAACTTTGCCTAGTTTTGGTATTAATTCTATTAGAAAGACTCAGTAGACAATAGTAAGGAACCTTGATGGTTCTGTAGGATAAGCATTGGACTGCAAGGTCGGCAGTTGAACTCCACCAACCAGCCATTCAGTAGGAGAAAGACGAGGCTTTCTGTTTCTGTAAAGAGTTGCAGCCTTGGAAACCCTATACAGGGTCACTATGAGTTGGAATCAACTGGATGGCAGGGGATTCAATTGCTTGGGGTTTTTTGTTGTTGTCGTTCTGACCCATAGTGACCCTATATAGGGTTTCTAAGAAGTGAGTGACTGGTGACCTTGAACCACCGACCTTATGATTGAAACCAACTTTGCAGTCCAGCGCATTAGCACACCTTGAGTTTTAGACAGTAGTAAAAGAGCAATGATATCACAATGTTTCAGCACTTGGTGGCTAACTGAACCCACCAGTGAGTGCATAGGTGAAATGAGCTGGTAGTCTGTTCCCTTAAACATTACAACCTAGGAAACCTGATGCAACAGTTCCACTGTTCTATAGGGTCACTGTGAGTGGGAATCAACCTGACCACACATAACAAAGCCCACAAAATAGTACAGGTTACGTAGGACTGAGGATGATCCATTATCAGTGAAAATAAACATCTTTGGGATCCAAGGTTTTGAAGAATGAAAGACCTGAAGCTAATGAATATTTTCAGTGTTAGATTAAATAAAACTTAGTAGTAAGTTGGCATAGAGCATATTTAGAAGGCTCATACCTCCAAATTCTACATCACATATCTTAGTATGTTTACGCTTGTAAACACTTCCGTTTTTGAAAGGCATCCAAAATGTTCTCACTTTCAGTGAGTGTATATGCCAGGAGAGGTGCTGAGCCCTCTCTGTTAGCTTTTCTGACTGTGAATTCCATTTACACACACCCTTCAACACTGCTGGTTCCTCCCAAGTCATTCCTCACAAGAGTCTCTGCTCACATGTCAGTTTTGTTGTCACAAAGATGTATGTTTTATAGACCAATTTAACTCATTTTTGAAGAAGTAATATGAGAAAATGTGGTTCCCATATGTCCTGGCGCATTATATGTCAGCCTACCCGGATGGCAGGCTTCTCTAGTCTGCCCCTTTAGACAGCTGCTCGAGGAGGGAAATGGGGAACACTAGGGCATTCTTAGTAACACTTGGGTTATTCATCCCTGGAGAATTTTTCAGTCTGTATATATAAAGTGTAGCTAAGCAACAAGACAAACAATGTCTCACACCTCAGCCCAGTGCCTGAGGACATCTGGCACATCAAGTCATATAAGATAATAGACATTGATAAGACAGACATCATGGGAGGCAGGAAAAAAAAAACATACCCTTCTGTAAACCAAAAGGATACAGAGCACAGCCTCCATGCCATGGGGAGAGAGAGAGAGAGAGAGAGAGAGAGAGAGAGAGAGAGAGAACACCGCGTCACGAGCTGGGTGGTGAGCTACACACCAGGCTTTCCCACCCTACCAACTCATTGGTCAGAATGAGCTCAGTGGATAAAGGCAGCATCAATTCTCTTTCTCCTTGAAGAAAATCCTGGGACGGTTTTGAGATAATAAAGATACTGGGCAGAATGGTCCAAGGCATGAACCTAGTCCAATGTGACTATGTGCTACCCACATTGCTATGGATGCAAAGGGGTCTTAGAGTGTTCGTGTCACTATAACCAATGCAAGCAGGTTTTAGATAAGTCTGTCATGTGTTGTAGACAATACAAAAGGAAAAAAAGACATAGTTTGTCCTTAAGTAACACACACACTTTGGGAGAGTACAACCACAACACAATTATGGTTGAATAAGGGGTAATTTTATGAATTCAGCTAGTCCCCAAAGAGAGGGAAATTTTCAACAAATATACTATAGTCTCTATGAGCGTCCAACAAATGGTAAGAACAAATTCACAAGAAAAAAAAAAAGAGTAAATTTTTTTGGTATCTCTATATTTTTAGATTATGACAACACCCCAACAAAAGAAATCCTAATTTGGAAATAGTGGTTAAAATTTCTCTTCTCAAAAAAACAAAAATTCTCTTCTCTCTCTGCTTTGGTATTAAAAGCATCCTTCTCTATAGACATCATTTTAAATCTTTAATAATTTCATACCTTTGGCTCTTCTCTTTATTTCTTACTTTCTTTCATTTTCTTTAATTTCACAAATATTGTGTGAACAACTACCCTCCTGAGAACTATGAAAACACAAGGGGCCTTAAAAAGTTCCATGATCCTTTAATGCCATTTTTCTACAAACTTTTTAAAACCATCTCATATAATGGAAAACATATTGGAAACCACTCCTTGTCTCCTGAAGCTTCCTGTCTAGTGTGAAATTTGGACAAATAACTAACAATTTCAATAAAACTGTAGGACATTAATAGGGAAACAAAAGGTGATAAGTGGACCCATTAGGAGGAGCCCATAACCCAGACTTGGGTGTTGGGAAGGGTCCTTCAGGAGTGGTATATGCTCTTACAGGATTTGCCCTTCCTCATAAAGGATGCTATTCTTGTAGATCTGAGGTGGGCTGTGATGTTATTGATAGGAAGACAGAAGAAAGAATAGCATGTGTGAAAACCAAGAGGAAAGAGCTTTCTAAGAAGTGAAAGAAAATCCGTATGTCTGTGAGTGGTCAAGAAATTAAGAAACTAAGGGTCAGCTCATACAAAGCATTGGCAGTTTGCTAAGGAGCTTGAGCACTACCTGAAGAACAATGTATCATCACTAAAATGACCTTAGCAAAGGATTGAAATAATGAATGGGAAGAAATCAGAAGGAGACAGAAAGGAGATTTATATGGCTGGGAAAGTTATACATGTGGAAAATAATGGCTTTGTGAACTAGTTGTTGTTATTGGTATGTGCCGTGGAGTCGGTTCTGACTCATAGCAACCCTGTACAGGGTTTCCAAGGCTGTAAATCTTTACGGGAGCAGAAAGCCTCATCTTTCTCCCGCAGAACAGCTGGGAGTTTCAAACTGCTGTCCCTGAGGTTCGCAGCCTGATTCGCAACCACTATGCTACCAGAGCTCCTTTTGTGAACTAGAATAGGTTAGATATAGATGTGATCACAAATGAGCAGGTCTAGAGATACTTGCATTTATAGCCGATGCCAAGACTATGGCAAAGGGGAAGATGATGATGCCATTGACTGAATGAGAAATACGAAGGCGGGACCAGTGTGGTTGTGGACATGTGAAGTTGGAGGTTCTTGTGTTTCCTCTAAGTGGAAATATCTAGAAGTAATTGGGCACACAAGTATCAAGGTGGAGATATGTTGAGTGAGTATGTTTGTGATTGAATGTTACAGACCATATCAGAAAGTGGTTTAAAAAAAGAACCTCCTCACCTGGCCTTTCAGTAGGCTTTCCATCTGTTCTCTGTGTTCTACAGGGTAACCCATGGAGACTTTGTGTTTGAACAGGAAGACTTGTTTGTATTGCACCATAAATCTATGGACTAACTTTCACAACTATCTACTGTGCTTTCTTGGCAGGTTTCGGAGCCTCACCACCGCATTTTTCAGAGATGCCATGGGCTTCTTATTAATGTTTGACCTCACCAGTCAGCAGAGCTTCTTAAATGTCAGAAACTGGATGAGTAAGTGTGGCTGAGTGATTTGTATTGACCATTTTAAGATGCAGTAACTATAAATACACATTGGAACTCAGCAACTACATTTGCTTGTTTGCCTTACAAGATATGACTAGACTGGTCATCACAGATTAGCTTTAGGAAATCATGAGTTTAGTATTGTCTGTGTCACCTTCAAACTGGGGGACTTTAACTAGACAAAGGAATTATGTTTTCCTTTGATACGCTTTTAAGAAGAGTTAATCATGACTTTAATATTTAAAGTCTTTGTCATTGTGATTGCAAGGTCATCAGCTCCACTTGTCTAGTAGTCGAAAGGAGTCCTAGTGTGATGCTTGCTGTAGGATCAGTACTAGATTGCCAACCACAAGGTTGACAGTTCAAACCCACCAGATGCTCCTCGGAAACCCTATACAGGATTGCGATGAGTCAGAGTCAACTCGACAGCACTTAACAACAACAACAGTAGTTTTAAAGGATGTCTTACAACTCATTGAGCTACAACAGCCACTTCATCTGGCCTGGAGAAGGCACAGAGGAAAACAGTGTTTTCTGAAATGAGTGCAAGGCCTAATGGATTAACTGGTGGTGGTGGTATTAAGGGTTGTAGAGTTGGTTCCTGTTCATGGTAACTACATGTCAAACAGAACAGCACCCTGTCTGCTGGTATCCTCAGAATCATTGCTATACATGAGTCCACTGTTTCACTCATTCTGTCAATCCAGCTCCATGAAAGTCCTTCTCTGTTTTGCTGAGCATCTACTTTGTCAAGCATGATACTCTTCTCCAGGGACTGGTCCTTCTGACAACAAGTCCAATGTCTATAAGATGAAGTTCCTCTCTCCTGACTTCTAAGGAAAATTCCATGTGTACTTCTTCCCAGACAAATCTGTTCATTCTTCTCACCGTCCATGGTATATTCAATATTCTTTGTTAGCGTCGTAATTCAAATGCATAGAGTTTTCTTTGTCCTTCCTTAGTCATTGTCCAGCTTTCACATGCTTATAAGACTATAGAAAATATCATGGCTTAAGTCAGGGCCACCTTCATCCTCAAAATGACATCTTTGCTTTTTAACACTTTAAAGAGTTCTTTAGCAGATTTGCCCAATGTAATATGTGATTTGATTTCTTGACTGATGCTTCCATGGACATTAATGTAGATCCAAGTCCAATTGGTTGTGGTGGTGGCTGTGTGCCGTGGAGTCAGTTCCAACTCACACAGCCCTGTATAGGGTTTCTGAGGCTGTAAATCTTTACGGGAGCAGAAAGTCTCATCTTTCACCTGCAGAACCATTGGTAGAATTGAACTGCTGACCTTGAGGTTAGCAACCCGACCCGAAACCACTATGCTACCAGAGCTCCTTCCAAGTCAAATTAGTTATAATCAACTAGTCATACAGTACCCACGTCCCACCCTCACATACACACACATTTATTTGCAGGGGACAAGACCTTCAATGGGGAAAACACCTTAGGGCCGAACCCTATCTATATACTATGTTCCTTTCTATACATGCATACGACAGGTATCCAGGGTGCTCCCGGACAGTCAGTGTAACCCTGTTAAGCCATCAGACTGGAGGGCAGGGTGCAGTCTTTTGTGGGCTCCACTGTCTTTTGTGGGCTCTTGTCCAAGTATGGAGGAGGAAGCTGAATAGTGTGAGATTTAATCATGCTATTCAGAATAGCCTGTAATTTAATTTAATTATTTCAGACCAAAGCTGATCACAAGTAACTGAAACCATGGAAAATAAAAGCACTGATAAAGGTGGACGACTGTCATTAATTATTAGTTAATAAACGACTCCTGAGCCAAGCGCTGGCCTGAAGATAAGGTGTGGGGTGCCAGTAAGTCAGCTCGGATTGAAGTTGGACTTTTCAAACATTGTTCAAATATGAGGAGACCTTGTAGGGAACAGTCTTCAGCCTCCACAGTAATTTAGATGTTATATGGAGTGTGAAAATTTTATCTAATGAATTATTAAAACCAATTAATAGACATATATACAAGGAGAGTCATATCTTTTTTTTTCTTTTTCTTTCTCAGCTTATATGCCACTTAAGAGGATATTTCATTTCTTTGGGCTTGTTTTTTACTGCAAATAAGCATTTTGATCCTAATGGGATAGACAAGTAACTGGACAGATCACTCATTCTACCGTGCGATGCTGCTTCTGCCATTTACAGATTTTTGGACAGTCTGTGACCAGACATGACCCATTTTTTAAAAATTTGGATCATATGTTCTTCTGCCCAAAATTCTTATATGACATCTTATCTCACTTGGAATAAAACACAGAGTTCCTGTGTTTCTCCCATATACAGCCATGTGCTGGTTCCTTCATCTCCTTCAGGTGTCTGATCAAACCTTACGTCTTTGGGGGATGCCTTTCCTGACGACCCATCTCCACCTCTAGCGTTCTCCATCACTTTCTGTCCCCTCAGTCAATGGGCATTTGCACCACCTGCCATTACATTATATTACATATTTCTTTGTCCTCTCGTGTTTTAACACTTCTACCACTGTGTCCTGCCGTGGCACTATAGGTTAAGCACTGGACTGCTAACCCCAAGGCCAGCAGTTTAAACCCACCAGCTGTTCCTTGGAAACCCTATACATGATCTCTGTGAGTTGGAACCTACTCCACAGCAACCACCACCACCACTACTAGACGATGACTCTATGAGAACACAAATTATCTAGTTTGTTCTCCCACCATACCTCAGATGCTAAAAGGATACATGGCGAAGAGTAGATGCTCAGAAACAGACATGTTTTTATTAAAATGATATGATTTTAGATTATATGCATATATGGAGCTCTGGTAGCATAGTGGTTACAAGTCAGGCTGCTAATCTCATGGTTAGCAGTTTGAAACTACCAGTGGTTCCATGGGAGAAAGATAAGGCTTTTTGCTCCCATAAATATTTACAGCCTTGGAAACCCTATACAGGGTTGCTATGTACATAACCACCACTACCATATCTATATGCACACAGAGATATATAAAATGCCTTTCAACGTAAGTTCATAGCACAATACCAATGGGAGAAAAATTGTCAAATTTTGACTGCCATAACCACTTCTTCAAATGAGTGTTTATCCTAGGATCTGCCTGTATTTCCTTTTATTATTGTACTTCCTTATCCAAATTTTGGTGGTATTTCTAACTTCTTAAGGATTAGGACTCCCAGAATTCATTTATCCTTTTCCAAGGCAGATAAGACTCTCCCTTGCTTTTTAAGAATCACCAGAAAGATGGGTAGGATTTAATTAATTGCCATGTCTAATAATGGTCTCATTCCTAACACTCACATCATCAGTGTGAGTGTGAGATGACAGGATAAAACTGTCATCTTCCTCTGGCCTGTGCAAGATAACCCACAGTGTGCCTTAAGATAGACATGAAAGTCAACCCATAATCTCAGAAGAAGTTCAGCTTGATAGGTTTCTTTTTCCTTACAATTCTTTCTTTCTCATTCTATTTTTTCATTCTTTCTTTTTCTCCTTTCTTCCTTCTTTGTCTCCCTCTCTTCTTCCCTTCTTTTCTTTCTTTCCTCTTTTTTTGACAAGTGTTTCCTGGAGAAAAGAGAAAAATAAATTGCCCATATTAAAACCATTTCTCCATGAATTTCTCGCAGTTCAAAATGCTCTACTTTTAAAAAGTGACCACTTTGGCCTTTGAAAGAGGTTATATAATGTATGTATAGGAAGGAACATCTTTCTAAAAGTGACAGAAAACTTAAATATTTCTAGGTCATATTGTGTTATCTCCACTTCTGTTTGTAAAACAAATGGCCTGAAGTAGCATGTCCTTCTCAAAAAGCGTTTTCCCAATGTAGAAGAGCTCTGATGAGTGTTGCTTTATACATATATGATTTCCAATCTTCACAATCTGCAATTTGTGAGGCATTATCTTCATTTTACAGATGGGGCAACTGAGGCTGAGAAAAGTAGCTGGGTTAATTTGACGCAACTAGGAAGCAGCCAAACAGAAGCTGAATAATTAGATGAGGAGTCTGTAGTATGAGCAGTCATTTGAAATCAATTGTTTACAACTAATGTGCTGGTTCCACCTGCTTTCTTTTCAAGGCCAACTGCAAGCAAATGCTTATTGTGAAAATCCAGATATAGTATTAATTGGCAACAAGGCAGACCTGCCAGACCAACGTGAGGTCAACGAACGACAAGCCCAAGACCTGGCAGACAAATACGGGTAGGTCACTATGTTGAGATGTCAGCTGACCTTGCAAACTGCAGATTACAGGAGGAGCAGAAACCCATCATTTAGACTGGGAGGAGTCTACTTGAGTGAAGAATAGTTAACGAACTTAAAAGATCTCCCAGGAGAATATTTATGATGTATTTATTGGACTATTTAATAATAATAATGATAGCAGCTAACACTTACTGAATACTTCAGTGCTAGCCAGGGCTTTGAGCTGTTGCTTTCTGTTTCAGCCATATCTGACAAAAAGAAACTAGAATGGACCTGAGTTTATAAAATGTGGGTTAACAGGAATGATAACCAACAAGGAAACAAATTATGGGTTGATCCCCTGGTAGAAACGTAATCTCCTTCTCAGAAAACAATGGCAGTGTGCACACTGTATAACAACCATATCTCTAGACTGGAACACTGAAAACAGCAGTGCCTGACTCGAAGATGGCGGCAGACTGGGCCACTTTGAATGTGTTCATGGTCCACAGTCCTGGCCCTCAAGCTAGAAAGGGCTCACGATCCAGATGTCATGTCATCGCCCACTGCTGAGCCAGTTCCACCCAGTTCGAAGCCCTGGTGCTAGGAACATTTCCCAAACTAACACATTTAATTCTCTTGTAACTGTGTGCAGGAAATACTTCATTTGAATAACTGAGTCACACTGAGATTAAGTAGCTAATGGAAGGCCTTGAGACTCCTGACTTATTCCTGTTAAGTGCCTTTGAGTTAGTTCCAATTCATATTGACCCTGTATGGGGTTTCTGAGGAGGAACTGGTAGATTTGAACCACCAACCTTTGGGTTAGGTGTCCAGTGCCTATCCAACAGTGCCACACCAGCACTCTGACTCCTAAGTAAAACCCCAAAGCCAAACCCACTACCATGGAGTGTTGCTGTGATTCTGGAACTATGCCATGGGTAATTTAAATACCAGCAGGGTCAACCACAGCGGACAGGTATCAGCTGAGCTTCTAGTTGTAAGGATTTTGTTTTCTTTAAATTGAGGTGCAATCCATACTGAAGGCTGTAGTCTTTGATCTTCATCAGTAAGTGTTTTAAGTTCTCTCCACTTCCATCAAGCAAAGTTGTATCATCTGCATATCACAAGTTGTTAATGAATCTTCCTCCAATCCTGATGCCAGATTCTTCATGTAACCCATCTTCTGGAATTATTTGCTCAGCATACAGATTGAATACATATGGTGAAAGAATACAACCCTGGTGCACACCTTTCCTAAATTTAAACCATTCAGTATTCCCTGGTTCTGTTTGAACGACTGCCTTTTGGTCTATGTACAGGCTCCTCATGAGCGCAATTAATACCCATTCTTCACAATGTTGTCCATAGCTTGTCATGACCACACAATGGAATGCCTTTGCATAGTCAATAAAGCACAAGTAAACATCTGTCTAATATTATTTGCTTTCAGCCAATATCCACCTGACATCAATAATGATATCCTATAGTTTCTGTTGTCTTCTGAATCCAGCTTGAGTTTCTGGCAGTTCCCTGATGCTGTACTGTTGCAGCTATTTTTAATTATCTTTAGTAAATTTATTCTTGTAAGTGATATTAATGATATTGTTCAATAATTTTTGCTCTTCATTCAGTCACCTCTATTTAGAATGGGCACAAATATGAATCTCTTCCTATCGGTTCACCAAGTAGTTAGTTGTCTTCCAAATTTTTGGCACAGAGGTGTGAGTGCCTTCATTGTTGCCTCAGTTTGTTGAAAGACTTCAATTTGATTCTCTCAATTCCTAGAGCCTTGTTTTTGCTGTTTTGTTTTGTTTACCTTCAGTATAGATTGGACTTCTTCCTTCAGTACCATCAGTTCTTGATCATATGCTACCTATTGAAGTGGTTGAACATCCACCACTTGTTTTTGGTACAGTGACTCCGTATACTTTCCATCATCGTTTGATGCTTTCTGCATCCTTCAGTATTTTGAGCATGTTATTGCTGTTAAGTGCCATTGAGTCAGTTCTGACTCACAGTGACCTTGAATAGGGTTTCTGAGGAGCAGTTGGTGAACTTGAACTGCTGACCTTCTTCAATATTGTAAGTCGAAGCTTGAATTTGTTCTTCAGTTCTTTCAGCTTGAGAAATGCTAAGTGTGTTCTTCCCTATGGGTTTTCTAACTCCAGATTTTTACACATTTCATTATAATACTTGGCTTTGTTTTCTCAAGCTGCACTTTGAAATTTTCTGTTCAGCTGCTTTATTTCCTCATTTCTTCTATTCGCTTTAGCATCTCTGTGCTGGAGAACCAGTTTCAAAGTCTTTTCTGACATCCGTTTTGTTCTTTTCTTTCTTTCCTGTCTTTTTAGTGACCTTTTGCTTTCTTCCTGTATGATATTCTTGATGTCATCCCAAAGCTCTTCTGGTCTTTGGTCATTAGTGTCTAATGTATTCAAATCTGTTCTTAAGATGATCTCTTAATTCAGTTGGGATATGTTCAAGGTCATATTTTACCTTTCATGGACTTGTTTTAATTTTCTTCAGCTTCAGCCTGACTTGCATATGAGCAATTGATGGTCTGTTTCACAGTCTGCCCCTGACCTTTTTTTGGCTGATGATATTGAACTTTTCCACCATCTCTCTACTCACAGATGTAGTCAATTTGATTCCTGTGTTTTCCATTTGGTGAAGTCCATGTGTATAGTTGCTTTTTATGTTTCTTTAAAAAGGTATTTATAATGAATATGTCATTGTTGTTGTTTTTGTTAAGTGCCGTAGAGTCGGTTCTGACTCATCGCGGCCCTGTACAGGGTTTCTGAGGCTGTAAGGCTTTACGGGAGCAGAAATCTTCATCTTTCTCCCGCGGAACATCTGGTAATTTCGAAATGCTGACCATGAGATTTGCAGCCCAATTCGTAACCACTACGCTACTAGAGCTCCTTGAATATGTCATTAGTCTTGCAAATATTTATCATTTTTTACGAAGGCCATTTTTCCAACTACTGGTCCTTCTTTGTTTCCAACCTTCACATTCCAATCACCAGTAATTATTAACACATTTTGACTGCATGTTTGATTAATTTCAGATGAAAGAAATTGGTAGAATTTTTCTTTTTCAGCATCGCTAGCTTAAGTAGTTATGAAGTCCTGATGTGGTACTGCAGGATCATGTCCTGGATCATAAGGTCAGTTTGAACCGTAAGGTCGGCGGTTCAAACCCACCATCCACTACTCAGAAATGCTATACAGGGTCACTGTATAGCAAAACTTTAGTGGTTGGTGCATAAAACTTTGAATTCTGGTGGTAGTAACTATTCTTTCTTGTAGATGTATGGATATTTTTCTATCACTGCATAGAACTTCAAGATAAATCTTGAAATGTTCTTTTTCATGATGAATGCAATTCCATTCCTAGTCAATTTGTAGTTCCCGTCACAGTAAACTATATGATTGTCTGATTCAAAGTAGCCAATACTAGTCCATTTTAGCTCACTAGGCTATTAGTCTTTATGCATTCCATTTTTGACAACTTTCGATTTTCATAGGATCATACTTCATACATTCCATGTTCTGATTATTAATTGAAGTCTGCAGCTGTTTGTCCTCATTTTGAGTTGTGCCCCATCAGCTAATGAAGGTCCCGAAAACTCTACTCCATTCATTTCATTATGGTGAACTCTACTTTGAAGAGACAACTCTTCCCCATTCATATTTTGAGTGCCTTTCAACCTGAGGGATTCTCTTCCATCACAAAACCTGACAATATTCTGGTGTTATTCATAATGTTTTCATCTTCTGGCACAATATCTGACAATGTTCCCCACCTATTCATACAGCTTTCGAGGACTAAGTATTCAGAAGTAGTCTGTCTTTCTGCCTTCCTCGTCTGTCTTAGTCTGGGAATTAGATTTCTATCTAGTTGATAAGAAGGATGTAACATTTTAATGGTAATATTGATCAGTAGTGTAGACATACAGGAAAAAGATGAGGCTTTCTGCTCCCGTAAAGATCTATAGCCTTGGAAACCCTGTACAGGGTTGCTATGTGTTGGAACTGACTCCACGCACACTACTACCACAGCACACTACTACAACCACCATAAGTTTAGGTACTTTTACTCCTAAGTTTTTTAAACAGAGATGGTGTGTGGGCTTCAAGTTCCAGAATACCTCCTGTCTGATGATGATACCCATATTAAAGGGCAGCCCACCAGATTTTACTTCTGGAGAAAAAACAAGAATGCTTTCCAGCTTAGGGGAAAAAACAATAACAACTATATGATGATTTCTCAGTCTCTCTGCTAGCCATGTTTTTCCCTATGTGACTTATTTGTACGTCTGATTGTATCTTTTTCTGATTTCTTCCTCTCAAAATTACCTATCATCTTTTCTATGCTAGCATACCCTACTTTGAAACAAGTGCAGCGACTGGTCAGAATGTGGAGAAAGCTGTAGAGACCCTTCTGGACTTAATAATGAAGCGAATGGAACAGTGTGTAGACAAGACACAAGTCCCGGACACCGCCAATGGAGGGAACTCCGGTAAACTAGATGGAGAGAAGCCAGCAGAGAAAAAATGTGCCTGCTAGACTCTACTTGGGAGCTGACCATCAAGAGCCCCACCCAAATCTTATTTCCACAAATGGTGAACAACCCCAACATTGTTGTTGAGTAGACTGTGTTTGTGTCTTTCATTTTTCTGCCAGAAAATCTATTTTAAGAAATCACAATAGCCAAGAGTGTGCAAAAGAATTAAATAGTTTTCCCTGAGGCTCTCCACCAGACAAGGCCAATGATTTCCCATTGAGATCTCACCATCTTGGAGGTTCAATTTCTTTTCTTTAAAAAGAAGAGTATTTAAGATAGTATACCAGAAGAAATACTAGTGAGTTTTTAATCAACAAAATTTATATTACCATATTGAGGAAAGGAAGACGCTCCTAAAAAGACAAAGAGAATGTAGAAAGTTTTGGTTTTTTTTCACATTGGGTATCCTTTTTACATAGACTCTGATTCATACCATTAGGTTCCATTTAGAGAACTATATTAATTAAAAATGGATTAAAAATGAAGAATTCTATATGGTTCAGTAAGAATGGCATCTCACCCACGAAGCTGTACTCAGATGACTAAATTACTGATAAATTTATGAGTTGAAAAATGTCAAAGTTCTGTTAAAATGATGGGACTTGAGTAATAATGCCATTTTTAGATTCTTAAGAAATGGGTAGACAAGGACAGACTTGTGAATGACAAAGTATAAGACAAATGACAAGAAAAAAAGGCAAATAATGGGAACATGGCATTTGGACAGCTGCAATGAAATGTATCTGTTACAGATGTCTGAGAGAATTGTTTAGCCAAATTTTACTCAAGCCAATTAGAAGCTGACATTATTAGTTGGGATTAAGAAAATCGCCAGAGGTTTTCATTTCAAACAAGTGTTTAGAAATTGGTTCAGTATTCAGCATCGTATTTCACTTTCTTCTTAGCAAATGTTGACCAATTATGAGGAGGAATTAAAGACTGCTGTTTATTAAAGATCTCTTTCAAAAACTATCATAAACCATTTTTGTTTTAGGTAAAATATTCTGGCATTCCTTGAAACAGACATGACTATTAATTGTGGATTTCTGGTTCATTTATATGAAGATTTGTTGTTGTTATTGTTGTTGTTAAGCGTCATTGAGTCAGTTCTGATCCATAGCGACCTTGTATAGGGTTTCCAAGGAGCAGCTGGTGGGCTTGAACTGCTAACCTTGTTGTTCAAACTGACTTTGCAGTCCAGCGCATTAACCCATAGTGCTACACCAGGACTCCTATAAGAGGATATGGTTTCTTATAAGAAAATAAAAATCCCCAAATCATATATCTTTTCTCCTACTCATCCCCCACCTCTGACTTTGCCTCAATTTAAGAAAAGCAAATGGGTTACTTTGTAGACAATTATTTCAGAATAATGATGGATTGATTCTATGCTCCTCTGAATTTTCTTATAGCCTTGGAAACCTTGTACAGGGTTGCTATGAGTCGGAACGACTCCACGGCACATAACAACAATAACAAATCACATACAAATTGATGTTACCCCATGCTGTTATAGCAATACATTCAGCATTTATTTTTATTTTGCCTATTAAGGTTGGGAACTGGGTATGGATGGAGATTTATGTATGGCACCAAAAATTTGGTTAGCTGCTTTATTTTTTACATATAATTGCTTTTTCTTCTTCTTTAAATGATCACAAAAGTATTTTCCATCAGCCTATATATATTATTGTATCTAAACTAATTTTACCTTTATGTAAGTTTGTGATAAGTATACTCCATTCTATCAAACTGGTTTTTGTTTAAATATTTGAGTCTCTGATCAATAACTTCTGACATTTCTTCTCTATAACAAAGGCAAGGCATTTTAAGTTTTCTTTTTTCCTTATGAGGGTATGATTATTCAACTGGATGGCTCTTCTTTCATGATGATTTTTGCCAATGAAATCTCATTTTCCCCCCATACTCAGTGCATTAAGTTTGTTAAGTTACAAAAGCATGAGGGTCCCTAAATCACAATCCTCGTCTCAACTCCCCTCCAACCAACTTCCACCTGGCTTTGAATCAATGTTAGAAACACAGACATATCCAAGGAAATGTCTTTTTGTCATGTTCTTAGGATGGAATAGACCCAGAAATGTGTCACAAATAACAGCAATTTCGAGGCCTTAATGAGGTTTGCCTTGTGAAATCTTCAGTGCTAATTCCCTCATTCTACCGTTTTCAGCAGTACTGAAATTGATCATGATTGGGTCTTACCTCCAGTGGTGTTTACTCTCCCTGAATCAGTGTGTCATGAAGATAGAAAGCTCTTAGCTAACAGTTACAACATTTCTTCTGGAAAGAAAATGAGCAGAAGCAACGTAACCATTATTGTGGCCAGGTTTGGTGAACCTTCATGATCCTTCTAGCAATTTCTTTTTTGGATTCAAACTTGTGACATCTCTTGTATTTTCTTAACAGGGAAGGTTTGACTTTTATAAAACCCAATAGGGATGCTATTTTTGATATCTCTTCTTGTGTTCTTTCATTTTTCAGCTATATGAATGATTTCCTTACTCCAAGAGTCTGTCATTGCCAATTCTCTAACAAGCCTTTATGGAGAGTCTATTTTAAGATGAAGCTCTTTGATAGCTGTAGTATGAAGCAGAGGGTGGTAATGCACACAATTATAGAATTATGTCTGTAAAAATAAATATTGAGTAATAATCTCAAGAGGAATTTGAGATTTAAAACCAATAAGAAAATTAATTTTAAAATATTTTATTTGTAAATAAAATACTTGGTCTAAAAAAAAAAATGTTTTCTCTATGAAGTTTGATATCAGACTTCCATTCAATTCCATGGAACCATTACTAGAAATTCCTTCACTCATTATTTCAGAATCAGTAGTTCTGTATAATTCATTTTACAACTTTAATCTGGTGCCATGAAGTATACAGACAGCTTTAAAGAATTGTAGAATCTCTTTAGCCCACAAATAGCATGCACTTTTACCCAAGATGTGTCCTGTTAATATGCCCCAATCCTTTAGTAAATCATACTGTATGTTGGCAAAAAATATAAAATGTATGTGAAACTCCTTTTTGGACATAGAAACCATGTCTGTAGTGTTTGTAGTAGTTTGATGTTTACAGTGTTCTAACACAGTACCTCAGATACCTCTGTGACCAAATTTATCTCATCCACATAGCTCACTTTCTACCATTTTCTATTTAGTGGAAGCCTCACAGAGACACTAACAGAGCTAAAGGTCTTCTGATGTCTTCAGCAAAGGACATAAAGACTTGATTAAAATCTGGAGGCCACTACCAACATCTGGTCTCCTAACTCATTTCTCATGGAGTAGACATTCCTTCAGATTCTGCATCATAATTAGATACACGGTTAGTTTTTAATGTTAAAAATAAATTCCTTTAAAAAAAAATAGTCAAGAAAACATGCTTGCCTTGGCCTGATGATAGTAAAAAGCCATGAGATGGCAGAGAAAATGCTAAATGTGGGTGTCTACACAGGCGTTTAAAGTATTTGCCAATCACTACTCTTGTTACTTAGCCGTTGTTTCCTTATTATCACTTATCACACACTGCAAAAAATGTTAAAACCAGCATTTTCTATCTAAAGTATATATTGTATCTGTTGTTTTTGACTACAGGGACCATTCTATGTATCAATGGGGGTCTTTATTCTGCTTTTAGTTTGTTATTCTTTGCCAACCTGTACAGGAAGACAGGCCAATGTGTTGACTCAGTTCTTCCCTGTCTCCTTGATAAGAGAGAGAAGCTTGACCATGGAGAATGATATGACTCCATCAAAACTCAAAAACAGCCATCCTGTCATTTAGACTGTAAATCAAGTCTACTGGGAATGAACACATTTGAGAAGTTCTGGGGCCTAGTGTTTTCGAGTCATGCTGCTAATCTCAAAGTCAGCAGTTCGAAACTGCCAGCTGTTCCACAGGAGAAAGGTGAGGTTTTCTGCTCCTTGAAAGATGTACAGCTTTGAAACCCTACATAGGCTCACTATGAGTCAGAACCAACTCCAGGGCACATAACCACCATCATAAATATTCTCACCAGTGGAGGAGAAATGAGTACAGTAGATATAGTGTACAATTCAATATTCTTTGTCTCTGTTTATTTAAAAAGGGGGACCTATATGTTCTCCCTGAAATACTGCACTAAACAGTTGAGTGAAAAACCTTATCTCTAGAAGATTTTAGGTTATAATCTAAGATTCAAGCTACAAAAAATTATACTTCAGGTCTCTGGTTTCCTAACATATTCTTTAAAAGGAAAATAGAGCAGACGTTAGACAAAGTAATGGAAAAGTTTTCTTTCACCCTCTACTCCCAAGCTTTAAATTGCTAAGCCTAGTAAATATTTTAGAGAAAATTACGTTATTTTGTAAGATGCCAAGATGCTGTCTAGATGTGAAGAGGTTGTCTAAAACTTCAGCATAAATTATATTTTCTTTTGACCTTTAACCAATATTATAGAAAGCTTACTTACTTGTGGGGAGAGTTCTGAGCTATATCTTAAGCATAGAAAACGGATATAGAATATCCTTTGAGATGAGTATTGTTCAACTGTTTTATAACTTTATGAAGCTTGTTGTCTCATAAAGCATACCTGCTAAAAAATAACTGTTAGATATTTAAGGAATATTATAAATGAGTTGCCTTAGAATTCTTGCATAAAGAGCAAACAACAATGGTATTGCTGAACAAGAACTATAAAGAGAGCTAAGAGTTCAAACTGGTAGACCATGGAGAAGCTCATATTTAAAAGGTTTATGTGTCATTAGGGAAAGACAAGGTTTAATAACCAACAGAGTTTTTGTAATTATTGTTAAGTGTCATCGAATTGGTTCCAACTCATGGTGACTCTGTATAGGGTTTCCAAGGAGGTTGGTGGGTTTGAAGCACTGACCTGGCAGTTAGCTCTCTACTGCTTATCCTACAACAACACACCAGGACTGTATCTCTGGCAAATTTGTCCATCATCTTTATTAAACAACTAGAAGTTTGTACACTTAGAAATAAGCTAATAAAAATATTTGAAGATCAAATTTTATTGTCATCAAAATTTGGGAAACAAGACTATTTTCTAAATATGAATCTAATCATCTCATAAAATGCAGTTTGATTAAATGTTCAAGAGTTAGTATCCCAAAAGTGGTTTTCTATGGAGTTTTTTCTATCAATACACTAACTTTCTGTATGGAAAGGTCATTTAGAACAAAACAACTTAAAAAGCAAATAGTTGTTTTCATGTGCCATAGAGTGACCC